CCAGGGGGAGGCTTGGGTAGTAAATCTGTAGTTAGTTTGGTAAAAGCTACGTCTCTCAGCACAGTAGCAGCTCCCTGCCTCCCATTCCTAGACAGATGCAGGCTGCTGTGCACACAGTCCTGCAGCAGCTTGCACACGGCTGGCGGGAACCAGCTGGAGTGGGCAGAAAGAACCCTGCCCAAATACCGGGGATCTCCGCTCTGCTGCTTACTGCTTCTGATCACAGAGGTGCAGACACAGGGTGGCCGTTGGTGTTGCTGCCCCTTCCTTATTGTTGCAAGCCCCTCCTCCTCCAGCTGAAGTGACTTCCAGGGGATTTCAAGACCAGCACCCTTCCTCCCATTAATTTTTTGCCCTTTCCCCTTCTGGGAGCCAGACATTAGACACTAGAACATTCAAAAGCAATTGCATATGTGGGGAAATTAGATAGTGGGTGGGCATTCCCAAAGAAGATTTCAGAAAACACTTCAGAGGGCCTAAATTTCACACCTCAGTTTGCTCCTGAGCACAGAGCTCACCTACACAACCCAACAAATAATAACAAAGAGCAGCAAACCCTGGGGAAGGTGGGGGTATCTGATTTCCAGAGTTACCACATTATTAGATTCAAGTGTCCAGTGTTCAATAAAGCAATCACAAGGCACACAAATAAACAGGGAAATATGACCCATTCAAAGAAAAACAAATTGAACAAAAGCGGGCACTGAAAAGATTGAGGGCAGATGTATTAGGCGAAGACTTTAAGACAATGATCCTAAAGATGCTCAGAAATCTGAAGGAAAATGTGGAGAAAGTCAAGAACATGATATGTGAACTAAACAGTAATATCAATAAAGAGCTAGAATAAGAAACCAAAGGAAATTCTGGAGCTGAAAAGAACAGTAACCAGAATGAAAACTTCACTTGTGGAATTCAGAGGCAGATGGAAGCAGATGGAAGAAAGAATCCGTGAACTTAAAGATAGGACAATGGAACTTATGGAAGCTGAGGACCAGAGACAGAAAGATTGAAGAAAAGCATACAGAACCTAAGATGTCCATAGGACACCATCAGTAGGTACTCATTGTGGGCCTCCCAGAAGGAGGGGGGAGAGAGAGAGAGGGGCAGAGAGAATATTTGAAGAAATAATGGCTGAGAACTTCCTAAAAAGACATGCATATAAAATCCAAGAAACTCAACAAAGTCCAGGTAAGATGAATTTTAAGAAACCCACACCAAGACATGTTACAATTAAACTTCAACAAGAGAAGGAGTGAGTCTTGAAGGCAGCAGCAGAGAGGCAGATCATCACATACACAGGATCCTCCAAGATCATCTCTAGATTCCTCATCAGAAACTTTGGAAACCAGAAGACAGTGGGAATATATATTTAAAGTGCTAAAAAAAATAAAAATAAAGTGCTAAGCAAACAAAAAAAAAACTATGAGCTAAGAATCCTATACCCAGCAAATCTGTCCTTCAAAAGTGAAGGAGAGGGATGCCTGGGTGGCTCATTCAGTTAAGCTTCTAACTCTTGATCTCAGCTCAGGTCTTAATCTCAAGGTCATGAGTTCAAGCCCCATATGGGGCTCCGTGCTGGGCATGAAGCCTACTTTTAAAAAAAGTGAAGGAGAAACAAATATTCCCAGGTAAAGAGAAGCTGAGGGAGTTGGTGACCTTACACCTGCCCTAGAGGAAATGCACCAGGGAATTTTACAGGTGAAAAGAAAGGACACTAAACAGTGACTGTATTATTGATGTACTGAGATGTAAAGATCTAAATAAAGGTAAATGGGCAATTATAATAGCTAATGTAACAATTCTAACAATGGTTTGTAGCTTACTTCTTGTTTTCTATATAAGACTAATACATTTTAAAGAAAAAAAATGTAATAGTAATATTACTGTAACTTTGGTTTTTAACTCCAAATCTTATTTCCTGTATAACTTATGAGACTAATGCATTTGAAAGAATTAGTAGTTTATGTTCTGGGACACTCAGTGTATAAAGATGTGCTTTTGTCATATCAACAACCAAAAGAGGTGGGGGTAGAATGTAAAGGGGCAAAGTTTTTGGACGTATATAGGTCATATAGAAAACAAAGAGCAAAATGACAGAAGTAAGTGCCTCCTTGTCAGTGGTTACTTTAAGTATAAAGGCATTAAATTCTTCAATGAAAAGACAGAGATTGGCCCAACTATATGCTGTCTACAGGAGACTCACTTGAGATCCAAAGGTAAAAAGAAGTTGAAAGTGACAGGATGAAGAAAGATATTCCATGCAGATAATAACCAGTGGGTAGTAGGAGTGGCTATACTAATATCAGACAAAATAGATTCCACATAAAAAAGGTTGCAAGAGACAAACAAGGGCATTGTATGTTAATAGAAGACTCAATACAGCAAGAAGATACAATAATTATAAACATGTACACACCTAATGACAGCCCATCAAAATATTTGAAACAAGAACTGATAGAATAGAAAGGAGAAATAGCTCTACACTATGAGCTGGGAACATTAATACCCCACTTATAATAATAGATAGAACAACCAGACAGAAGACAAGAAAAGAAATAGAAGATTTAAAGAGCACAGTAAACTTTCCACATCTAACATAGAGAACACTTAACCCAGCAACATGACACACACATTCTTCTAAAGTGTACATCCACAAGTCAAGTCTACAGAGATTTTACAAGATAGATATTGTAAAGTGAGCACGATGGGATGTAGTTATAAATCAATAAAACCTAAAACTGAATAATTGTAAAAATTGTGGACACTAAACACACTTTCAACCAGGGTTTCAAGGTAGAAATCTCAAGAAAGTTAGAAAATACTTAGAGACAAATGAAAGCAAAAACACAAAACACCCAAACATGCAGGATGCAGCAAAAACAGTGTTAAGAGGGAAAATTTAGAGCTATAAGAACTTACATTAAAAATAAGAAACGTGTGGGGCTCCTGGGTGGCTCAGTCCGTTAAGTGTCCAACTCTTGGTTTCAGCTCAGGTCTTGATCTCATGGCTCATGAGTTTGAGCCTTGTGTCGAGCTCTGTGCTGACAGTGCAGAGTGTGCTTGGGATTCTGTCTCCCTCTGTCTGCCCCTCCGCCACTCACTCTGTCTCTGTCTCTCTCAAAATAAATAAACTTAAAAAAAAAAACATCTGGGGCGCCTGGGTGATTCAGTCAGTTAAGTGTCTGACTTTGGCTCAGGTCATGATCTCGTGGTTCGAGGGTTTGAGCCCTGTGTCGGGCTCTGTGCTAACAGCTTGGAGCCTGTAGCCTGCTTCGGATTCTGTGTCTTCCTCTCTCTCTGCCCCTCCCCAACTCATGCACACTTGCTCGCTCAAAAAAATAAACATTAAAAAAATTTAAAGAAATAAACATCTCAAATCAACAACATAATTTTACAACTTAAGGAACCAGAAAAAGAAGAACAAGTGAAACCTGCAGCTAGCAGGAGGAAGAAAATACTAAAGATTGGAGCAGGGATTAGTAAAACAGAGATTAGAAAAATGGTGCAGAAAATCAGTGAAACCAGAAATGAATTCTTGGATAAGAGCAACAACACTGACAAACTTTTAGCTACATTGACTAAGAAAAAAGGAGAAAATACTCCTATCACTAAAATCAGAAATGGACGTGGGAGTGTGAATGGTGTGGCTGCTGGGGAGAACTGGGTGGAGCTTCCGCAAAAAATTAAATATAGAAATGCCATATGGCCTAGCAGTTCCATTTCTGGGCGGGGCCCAAAGAATTGAAAGCAAGGTCTGCAGGAGATCTTTATGCACCTATATCAATAGCGTTATCACGACAGCTAAAACATGAAGGTGACCCAAGTGTCCATCACCTCCTGGAGAGATTTCCCAAATGTGGTCCATCTGCACAATGGAATGTGATTCAGCCTTAAAAAGGAAGAAAATCCCACCATATGATTTAGCATGGATGGACCATGAAGACATCATGCCAAATGAAATAAGCCAGTCACAAAAAGACAAACACTGTGTGATTCTGTGTATGTGAGGCACTCAGAGTCGCAGAGACCAGAACTGGTTTACAGGGACTGGGTTGGGGAGAATGGGAGTTACTGTCTAGTAGGATTAGGACTCCGTATTCACAATGCGGGTGGTAGATGGCTGCACAACAGTGAATGAACTGATTCAACACCACTCAGCTGTACACCCACAAATGTGCAAGGTAGTAAATTTTCTGTTATGTGTATTTTTTTAATGTTTATTTTTGAGAGAGAGCAAGAATGAGTGAGGTAGGGGCAGAGAGACAGGAAGACACACAATCCAAGGCAGTCTTCAGCTCTGAGCTGTCAGCACAGAGCCCAATGCAGGGCTCAAACCCAAGAATTGTGAGATCACAACCTGAGCCAAAATCAGATGCTTAACCAATTGAGCCACCTAGGTGCCCCTGTTATGTGTATTTTTTAAAAATGTTTTTAAAATTATTTTTGAAAAGGAGAGCATGAGCTAGGGAGGGGCAGAGAGAGGGGAACAGAGGATCTGAAGCAGGCCCTGTGCTGACAGCAGAGAGACGGATGTGGGGCTTGAACTCATGAACCATGAGATTATGGCCTGAGCTGAAGTCTGACGCTCAACCGGATGAGTCACCCAGGTGCCCCATGTTATATATATTTTAACACAATAAGAAAGGAGAAATTATTTTGAGAGCAGGGGAGGGGCAGAGAGGGAGAGGGAGAATCCCACGCAGGCTCCACACTGTCAGTGCAGAGCACCATGTGGGGCTCGAACTTGAACCATGTGATCATGACCTGAGCCAAAGTCAAGAGTCAAACTTTTTTTTTTTTTTTTTTTTTACATTTATTTATTTTTGGTAGACAGAGACAGAGCACAAGTGGGGGAGGGGCAGAGAGAGAGGGAAACACAGAATCTGAAGCAGGGTCCAGGCTCCAAGCTGTCAGCACAGAGCTCAACATGGGGCTCGAACTCACAAACTGCGAGATCATGACCTGAGCTGAAGTCGGACGCTTAACCAACTGAGCCACCCAGGTACCCGAAGAGTCGGACGTTTAACTAACTGAGGCACCCAGGCACCCCATCCTTTGAATGGGGTTTTTTCTTTTTTGTTTGAATTTGCGAGAGTCGTTTATGTATCCTAGAAACTGGACCCGAATCGCATATGATTTGCACGTGTTTTCCCCTATTCTGTAGGTTGTCTTTCCACTTTGTTGACAGTGCTCTTTGATGCACATGAAATTTTTATCTTCATGCAGTCCTGTCTGTTTTTTTTTTTTTTTTTTTCTGTTGTTGCCTGTGCTTTGGGCATGACAGCTAAGGATCCATTGGCAGATCCAAGGTTACAAAGATTTACTCCTTTTCACTCTTATATTTAGGTCTTATAGAGTTCATCTTTGTACAGGGTGTGAGGTGGGAGTTCAACTTCATTCTCCTTCATATACACTAATAGCCCCAAGGTGTGAAGCGGTGTCTTCAATGTCCACGGACTGTCCAGTAGCAAGCACTCCAAAACACGGTGAAAGCTCTGTGGAGTGAGTACTGGATGCCATAATAACTGGGGAAAAGTAATTCAGTTTCGTGGGTGAGAGTTGTTCTAATCCCCCCACTGACCTATCATTTCAGTGGGAGCACCCGGCCAGCACTCTGTCCCTGTCAGCCTGGCACCCCCGGGGGTCGGAGCCTGGGCCTGTCCAGCAGGAACTATAGTGAAGAGCTTGGCCCCCCCAGGAGCAAGCCCTTGCTGGCCCCCACGTCTGCTGCTGACTGGTGCCTATCTGGGCTCCCAGCGATCTTAGCCTACGGACGTCTAGGGTCCCCTGCCCCACGGTGGTTCCTGCAGTTTGATAGGCTGACCCTTTGGCCACTTTGTGCCTCCTTGACGTCACCCACCTGTAATCTGCCCTGTGCGCATCAGAGCTGTGTCCCATCCCTACCAAAAGGAGGCCCTGGCTTCTGTGAGTCTGAGGTTTACCCTGTGATTCCTGCTCACAACTGCTCTCAGAGCTACCTGGAGCCAGGCCCGGGCTCCTCTCTGTCCCGTCATCTCCTATAACTCATATTTTCTCAGAGGGCATTTTGGATTCCTTGGAAAAAATCCTTCTGATGTTTTTTCTCCACTTTGAATAAACTGATCTTTTGATGGCTCAACACAGTGGTTTGATGTGTGTGACTCATCTGTCCTCCATGCTCTCGTGATTTCTCCAACCACTTTCCTGTTTCTCTTCCCTGCTCTTCACATGTTTCCAGAAATGCCATCAAAGAAGACTGAAAGGTCATGTTTATCTGCCTCCTGATATGGAAATCATGAGAGGAGTTAATCTGAAAATATCAGAATCTTTTCTTGATTCATAATCTTTAAAAAATATAATTTTAATTTTGGATTAGATGGTACTTTTACTTGAATCAAAAGCCGGAACAATAAAAAAGTACACACTGAAGTCTTGCTCCCACTGTCCCATGTTTGCAGTCAGGGCTGTAGGGTTTTGAGGTCTTTGTACATCTGAATGGCACTAACTTAAATACACCCTGTAGTAAAGTGTTAGTGTCAATGGACATACCCTGATGCTAGAGTTTGGACAGATAACTGTGGACGTGGAAGTCATGGCCCTTCCCCAGGAGAGATGCCTCATTTCCAGGGATTTCAAAAGCTCTATGATAGAATAAAAATGATGTCTGTAGGAGGTCATCTTGAAATTGAACCAAGGAATTTGCATTGACTTATGTTTTAAATAGTTTCTAACATCAAAGATTAATCTATAAGTTTCATGAACTTATTTATATTTTATTTTTGGAAACTTGAAGTAAATTCTTCAAGATACATGTTCTAGAGCAAATCAGTGTTTCATATGTAGCTGTTACTACTTTGTGTCATATTTGGGGCTGGAAAAAAATGTACACAGGAAAAACTGAAGTTAAAAGCACTAATAATAAACAGGAGCCCCCACATTCTCACTGAGACTTTTTGGTAGAAAGGTCCTAACTTGCTGATGAAAGTCCTCATGTGTGTGTTTTCTTCCAGATCTGGAATGGAGAGAAATGGAAGCAGATGACTGTGAGTCTCATGTGGGAGGAGACAGCAGGGTTTGGGGTGGACCAGTCTGGGGAAAGGGGGCGGGTGGGTAGACTGAGAACTCACCGGGATTTTACATTGTGAACACTGGGGAGAACTTGCTGTCTTAGTGAGAAGAAGGAAGGTTCTGGGTTTAGCCTAAATTAATTTGTGTCAGTCTAAGGTGCTGATTTGATTGACACCTCATTTTCCTTTGCTTTTTTAGACGGTACAAATGAGGCTCAGGACAGTGACTTCCCAACAGGTATGTGTTTTCTCTGCTCTCACCCCTGTCCTGTCAAGGGAGGACAGCTCCTGTGTCAGAGTCTCTGCTAGCCCCTTAGTCCTCAGTGCCACCACTAACCGGGACAGTGATGGACACTAGCGTCTTGGCAGGGGAAGCTGCAAGTGCAGGAATCTTACTTGTGATGAGTCCCCACAGTGGTTCTAAATTTTTTTTTAATGTTTATTTATTTTTGAGACAGAGTCAGAACGTGAGCAGGGGAGGGGCAGAGAGAGAGGGAGACACAGAATCCGAAGCAGGATCCAGGCTCCGAGCTGTCAGCACAGAGCCTGATGCGGGGCTCGAACCCATGAACCGCAAGATCATGACCCGAGCCGAAGTCAGACCCTCAACTGACTGACCCCCTCCCCCCAGGCACCCCCTGCTCCAACAGTGGTTCTAAAGTGCAGTGGGATCCGGGGGGACCCTCTGGGTGTTCCAGTGGTTTCTGTGACACTCCCACCAAGGGCCACACACTAGGCATGGATGCCTGTGAGGTTTCTTGTTCTGGCTTTTCCCCATTGCCCATCACCACCATGCTACTTAAAAGACAAAAACCGTTGTTCCATGTCTGGGTAAGAAAAACCACGTCCCTGGTTTCATTCAGGCAAAACTCAAGAGACCTGAGCAGCACCTTTTCTATTCCTGTGTGACCCCATGCATCTCTTTTGTTTCTGCAGCAAGTTCACCAGCCCTGTGTTACTGCAGCCACACTGCACCCCCACCCCCTCCCAACGCAGGGCAGGTTCTGAAGAGAGGCGGCCCCTGCAGGGGAGGAGACACCTGTGTCCCAGGGCTGAGTCCTGCTGGTCACCCAGGAGGGCCCCGGACCAGGGCTGTGCCTCCTCTCAGGGTTTATATGAACATGTGGGTAACTTCATAGGCTTTCTCTTTTGAGAAAGGAGTGGAAAAAAGCCTGCAGCTCAGTAGGATTTGCATTTTTTAATTGTTCGTTTATTGGACCATGACAGCATACTAATCCTATGCAGTATGGAAATTGGCCAGATGCCACGCCCAAGAACAGGGGCAGTGGGTGAAACCTTTCGAGGAGTTACTGTGCTGAGTGTAGTGCTTGCTAAGAGTTCGTACTGTGTTGGGTGGTATTTGGGGATCTGGACAAGTAAGTGCAGACTTCTGGTAATCTCTACCAAATATTTTACCCCCGTAACATTAAAACCACATTATTGGCTTCAGAGTCACAAAACTGGTTGCTAGCTATGATTTCTGTGACTCTCTATCTAGTGATAGCTTCCTTTTCCCTTTAAAAATCCTCCAAGTTGTTTGTAAAAAGAAAAGAATGTAACCTGGAAAATCCGAGTGACTCAGTGATTGTGTCGCTTGTGGGAAATTCCTGGTGACAGTGTGCAGGGACCCCGCTTCTGGCCCAGAGTGTGGGGAAAGTCCACGGGGTCACTTGGCAGGGGTGGGGGTGTGGTCAGAGAAGGGGTCCTGCGTCCCATGTGTGGGTGCATGGCTGTGCACTCTACATGGTTAAATTGGGGCCCCAGTGTGGCTGGGTCATATGGGTTTCAGGAGAAACCAGACGTGTAGACTGGACTCTCCCAGTTCTTAAACGTGGCCCCTTGGTGTCTTCTCTCTAATGTCCAACGTGTCTGGTGGTGTTTGGGTCTGGGGGTGGTGTGAGTTTGATCTCAGGCAGGCCTTGGGAGGCCGTCCCCCATCCCACCTGTAACCGGGGCCCCTGATGCATGGGGTGAGCACTGACGTCTTCTCCCCCCACCCCCCCCACAGCGGAGAGGAGCAGGCTGCAGGAGATGCTGTCGCTGCTGGGGCTGGAGACCTACCAGGCCCAGAAGCTCAGCCTCCAGGACGCCCTGCAGATCAGCAGCGACAGCATGAGAAACTGGGCCCCTCAGGCCCCCAAAGACCTGCCCTGGAATTTCCTCAGGAAGCTGCAGGCCCTCAACGCTGAGGCCAGGAACACCACCATGGTGCTGGATGTGCCCCCGGACGCCAGGCCCATGGAGAAGGAGAGCCAGATGGAAGAGGAGATCATCTACTGGGACGCGGCTGACGACATCTCCGCGGACATCTATTCCTTCTCAGAGCTGCCGACGCCCGACACGCCTGTGAACCCCTTGGACCTTCTCTGTGCCCTTCTGCTCTCCTCAGATGGTTTCCTGCAGCAGGAAATTGTGCTGAAAATGTCCCTGTGCCAGTTTGCACTCCCTCTCGTCTTGCCTGACTCGGAGAACCACTACCACACATTTCTGCTGTGGGCCCTGAGGGCCGTGGTGCGGACGTGGTGGGCGCAGCCCCCGCGGGGCGTGGGCGGCCTCCGAGAGGACAGCGCGGTGCTGTCCCGGGCTCCCACCTTCGCCTTCGTGCGCATGGAGGTCAGCAGCAACTCCAAGTCACAGCTTCTCAACGCTGTGCTCAGCCCCAGCCACCGGCCACGGGACTGCTTCTGGCATCGTGACCTGAGTGTGGGCACCAACCCCCGGGAGATCGCAGATGGGCTGGTGGAAGTCTCCTGGTTCCTCCCCAGCGGCAGGGAGGACCTGGATGTGTTCCCAGAGCCCGTGGCCTTTCTGAACCTGCGGGGCGACATCGGGTCTCACTGGCTGCAGTTCAAGCTCTTGACCGAGATCTCGTCCGCCGTGTTCATCCTGACCGACAACATCAGCAGGAAGGACTACAAGCTGCTCTACTCCCTGAGGGGCTCGGCCACCAAGTACTATTTCATCCTGAGCCCCTACCGTGGGAAGCGGAACACAAACCTCAGGTTCCTGAACAAGCTCATCCCGGTGCTGAAGATGGACCACTCACACGTGCTGGTGAAGGTCAGCAGCACCGACAGCGCAGGCTTCGTGCGCAGGGTCCGCTCCATCGTGGCGCACGTGGCCCGGTCCCCCTGCAGGAGGTTGTCTGTGGAGGAGATGGCGCACGCGGCCCGTAAGCTGGGGCTGAGGGTGGACGAGGACTGTGACGAGTGTCAGCGGGCAAAGCAGCGTATGGAGCGCATCACCAGGAGGATCAAGGACTGTGACGCCTACCGCAGGGACGAGCTGTGGCTTCAGGGGGACCCCTGGCGGAAGGCGGCCCAGGTGGAGAAGGAGCTGTGCCAGGCCCAGAGGGCAGGGGACCCTCCTGACAAGGGCAGGGCGGAGCTGGGGCACCGGCTGCTAGAACTTCGTGCACAGCAGAACCGCCAGGACCCTGCCTGGGGGCTGCAGGAGTTCATCGCAGGCATCAGCAGCGCCTCACTGGCTGAGAAGCAGTACTTCCTGAGGTGGATGGAGTGGGGACTGGCCCGCATGGCCCAGCCAAGGCCGCGGCAGCCTCCCGAGACCATTCTTAGCCTGAGACCCAAGCACTGTGGCATGGTGGACTTCGGGGAGCTGCTCTGGCCTGAGCCCCTGGGTGTAGAGCACTTCCTGCGGGAGATGGGACAGTTTTACGAGGCAGAAAGCTGCCTGGTGGAGGCAGGGAAGCTGCCGGCCGGCCAGAGGCGGTTTGCCCACTTCCCGGGCCTGGCCCTGGAGCTGCTGCTGAAGGGGCTGCCCTTGGAGCTGATCGACGGCAGCACGCTGAGTACCCCCCTGCACTGGGTCACGGGGCTCCTGAAGGAGCTGCACGTTCGCCTGGAGAGGAGGTCGCGCCTGGTGGTCCTGTCGGCACTGGGTGCACCGGGCACTGGGAAGTCCACGCTTCTCAACACCATGTTTGGGCTGCGCTTTGCCACGGGGCGGGGGTGTGGCCCTCGAGGGGCCTTCATGCAGCTGGTCACCGTGGCTGAGAACTTCAGCCAGGATCTGGGCTGCGACCACATCCTGGTGATAGACTCCGGGGGCT